ATATAAACTAAGCGAACGTGCATTGCACGTTGCTTGCATCTAGTATTTCAAAAAAAGGTGCAACGAACGTTCCACTTTGACTATTATTACAGAGTATGGACATTGAAGGAGTCGTCTCGTTCTGCAAAACAATAACAATTATCGGTTCATGATTTTATTGTTAGCGTTCTCTCTCATAGAATTCGGGATCAAATCAGTACTTTTGTGAAGATGACAGACTTTGCAGTGACATTTGTTCTTGACAAAATCACAATCTTATTGGAGGAAAAGGTGAATCTGGTAAAAAATGTCAGGCAGGAATTTGAATATATCAGAGACGAACTTGAGAGAATGATTGCTTTCCTCAGAGTTGCTGATGCTGCTGAAGACGATGATCCAGAGCTCAAAGTCTGGGTTAAGCAAGTCCGAGATGTTGCATATGATACTGAAGACATTATAGATGATTTCATGCTGCAATTCCACCATAAAAGTGACGGTTTTCTGAGGAAATTTATTCTCTCTATACGAAATCTGAGAACCCATTATAAAATTGCTTCTGAAATTCAAAATATCAAATCCAGAATTATAGAAATTGCAGAGGGACATAGGAGGTATAGTTACAGGTTTAATGTTCCCGGGGAAGCTTCCACATCACGATGCGTGAGTAATAGAGGGATGGATCGTCGAGGGGATGCTCTTTTATTAGAAGAGACCGAGCTAGTCGGGATTGAAGACCCGAAAAAGCAGATAATACGGTGGCTTGTTGAGGAAGAATCACGGCTTAAGGTGGTTTCAGTGGTGGGAATGGGAGGTTTGGGGAAAACCACTCTGGTTAAGAAGGTGTATGATGATTTTGTTGTGAAGAAACACTTCCAGAACCACGCATGGATTACAGTTTCTCAGTCGTTCGAGGTGGAGGAGCTCCTGAAAGACACAATTCAGCAACTGTTTGAACAGATGAAGCAAACTCCTCCTGAAAATTTGAGCACCATGAATCGTAATAGGCTCAAAGCAATAATCAAAGATTTCTTGCGCCAAAGAAGGTACTGTTGAACTGTGTGCTAATTCTTTTGAACTAGTCGAGGTATAGGTGTTTTCGATACTAGAAGTCATTTTACAGGTTTTGCTAATAATGTTATAGCTGGAAATTTTAAATGTAATTAGTCAAGGTGTTCTTTGAAGTATATAGAATCATAGTTTGTAGACGATTTAGACAAGTAAATATTATTGATTGATCATCTTTGTCGTTAGTTTGCCATTATAAGTTGCATTTATACTTATTCGGTCCTTATCAAATTTAGACTTTATAAAACCAGCATAGAACAGTGGAGAACATTATGCAATACATGCAGTGGCGGAGATAGGGGTGGGCTGGGGTGGGCTATAGCCCATTCTTGCCCAAGCCCAGCTTCTATTAAAAAAAAAAAATGGTTAAAGTCCATTTTTTCCACAGTCCAACCCAGTAACCCTCTGTACCTTTCATTCCTGACTCCTCCCCAGAATACATGTTAGGCATATTAGACGGGATAGAATTATATAAACCACCCTTCCATTATTTTATACCACCCAAGAGGAAGTGGTAGAATCTCAATCAGCCTACTCATTGCAATTAGTTTAGCAAATGGCCACGCTTTTGCATCTTATTAATTGATTAGTTCTTTTCATATAGTAGTATGAGAATCCACAAGTTGTAAATTGTAATGGTTTTAATTGGCACTTATTCCATTAGTAGTTTGTCATGTGGCAATATATAACTATAACATGCAAAAATCGCTAAGATTTTTGATTAACACCTTTTGTGAAAGTACAAAATGTATCAGTGAAATTATGCATCAAATTGGAAAGGGGCAAAATAAATAAATTGTGTTAAATTATTTTTTTAAAAAATGATTAATTAATAAACATATATCATTCTAATGTAAAATTAACATACAACTCATAATATATATATATATATATATATAAGTGAATTCAATTTCTTGTTGCTCCTTCAGACTCCTTATTTCTTTCCTAACTTCAGCAATCCAACGAGTGTAATCAAGTGTTCTTAGATGTACTGTTTTGATGTCTATATATTCACAGGTATGTTCTAGTCTTTGATGATGTTTGGAGTATTCTAGCATGGGAAGCTATCCGATATGCCTTACCTAATGAGAATAATGGGAGTCGTGTCATCCTGACAACCCGAGTCATGGATGTGGCTTTATCTTGTAGCCAAGAAACTGATGGTTATGTGTATGAGTTGAATCCTTTGTCTGAAGAAGAGTCCTGGATTCTATTTTGCCAGAAGACATTCAGGGGGAACCCGTGCCCTACTCACTTGATTGAAATTTGCAAAAGCATCTTGAAAAGATGTGGAGGATTGCCGCTTGCCATTGTTGCTATTAGTGGGGTGCTGTCTACAAAAAGGGAGATTAACGTTGACGAATGGAAGAAGCTCAATTGCAGCCTTGGCTCTGAACTAGAAGGTAATGATCAACTTGAGAGTATGAAAATCATTTTGTCACTCAGTTTCAATTATCTGCCATATTACCTCAAACCATGTTTTCTGTACTTGAGCAATTATCCGGAGGATCATGAGATTGAACACAATACACTAGTCCGACAGTGGATAGCAGAAGGTTTTGTGAAACAAAAAGTGGGAAGATCAGTGGAAGAAGTTGCACAAGGGTACCTCAATGAGCTCGTCAACAGAAGCTTGCTTAGTCCGGTGACAACCAACGATGATGGAAGCATCAAAACGAGCTGTATCCATGACTTTTACAGGGAGATTATTCTTTCAATATCAAGAGATCAGAATTTCATAACAAGCAACAATGAGCAGAATATGATATGGCTGAGAAGAGCAAGACGCCTCTCAGTGCATGGGAGCTTTAGATATACAGATGTCAAACATTATGGTGCCAGGCTCTGTTCCTTTCTGACTTTTCACGTGGAAGATCCCCAATCCATTTTGAGCATTCTTCAGTTGCTTAATAGCTGTACAATGCTGAAGGTTTTAGATTTGAGGGGCGTTCCTCTGGAGAAGTTCCCAGGTGCTGTTCTCGAACTGTTTAATTTAAGGTATCTAAGCTTGAGAAGCACCATGATCAAAAGACTTCCAAGATCAATTAAGAAGCTTGAGAAGTTAGAGATATTGGATCTTAAGGAGACATACATCAATGAATTACCAATTGAGATTCTAAAACTCCAATATCTTCGGCAACTTATAGTATATCGCCACATACCAGGCTCATATCTACATTATGATTATGTACATGGTTTCAAAGTATTCAAAGGAATGGGCAGCTTAAAATTCTTGCAGAAACTCGGCTTTATTGATGCATCTCCAGGAAGCGTAGCACTTGAAGAAATAGCCATGATGAGTGAATTGAGGAGAGTTAGCATTACAAATTTGAGAACCCAAGATGGAGTAGCTCTATGTTTGTGCATTGAGAAGCTCCAAAAGATATGCTCATTAGGTCTAAGAGCAATAGAGGGAGATGTCCTTGATCTTAATCACCTGTCTTCTCCCCCTCTTTCCCTTCAACGGCTATATTTGACAGGGCGTTTAGCGAACTTTCCTAAATGGATACAATCTCTTCCAAACCTGGTGAAAGTATACTTCAGATGGAGTCAGTTAAGGGATGATCCCCTTGAATATCTCCAAGATATGCCTAATCTAGTCCATATTGAATTTCTCGCAAGTTATGTAGGGGAGAAACTGTGTTTTAAGGCTGGAAAGTTTCAGAAGCTTAAATTATTAGGTCTTGACAAATTAGAAACCTTGTGTCAGGTGATCATTGAGGAGGGTGCCATGCCTCATCTGGAGAAGCTTATCATTCAACGATGTAACTCGTTGGAGGGCGTGCCCGTAGGGATTGAGAATCTCTCCGAACTAAAAGTTCTTGAATTTTTCGACATGCCTGATGAATTTATTGGGTTAATCTCTCCAGCAAAACATGGTGAAGATTACTGGAAAATTGCACATATTCCAGAAGTACATCACACATACTGGAGGAATGGTTGCTGGGAGGTTTATCCATTAGAAGAGGAGCAGGCAATTGAGAAATCTGAACAGCCTAGAGCTGCCATCGTTAGAACTCAAGAACAACGGAACTGGCTGTAATGACTATCGGCTGCACCCTATGGAGCGTCTCTGGTTCAAGCTTCTCGGTATCTCTTACCCAATTCTGTTTTTTAAGCCTAATGTCGAAATGTACATACTAAAGGATTTCTTATTCTCTTGTATTATAATGCTCTAATTGTAGAGTTCTAAAGTAGAGAATGTATTTGAGAGAAAGGAACAACCACGCTTTTATTGATTATCTTGGTATCATATTTATAGTACAAGGTTCTACACTAATAAATGACTTGAGTAAATCAAATTCCTTACTGATAACTATACAAGAAAAATTTATGAATGTTAGAATATGATTAGCTCTTATTTAGCCTATGACAGACCCTGCTGTGTAGATCGTAGATGTAAACCATGTTAAATAAAAGATTTTTTTTTTTTTTTTTTGTCAATGGAGAATGTCATCAGTCTGGAATATTTGGTTATGTCCATTTTAAATTTGATTGGGTTGGAAGTGATCCGCCCGGTGGTTTGGAGGTTTTTCTTCTTTTTCTACTTATGTAAGTNCCCATTCCTTGTGTTGTTAAGTGTGAGAGAAAAATGTAGCCGTGAGAGAGGAGCATTGGCTTGGTGCTTCCTGGTTTTGCTTTGTGCTTGACCATCTTCTCCTTCTTCCTTTGTGGTTGAACCTTGAGGCTACTATCTTCTCCACACCCGCCCATTGTGGGCAACCCGTGAGCAGCCCTTGGTGGGCAAAAACCGTAGCAACCAGTTGGGAAGTTGTTGGGAGTTCTTGGTCGGATTGGTGGTGTCGATTGGTGGTTTTCTGAGCCCGGTTCTTGGTTGATTGGAGTCCCAAAATATCAACAGATTTTTATTTTTTTTTTTGGTCAATGGAGAATGTCATCAGTCTGGAATATTTGGTTATGTCCATTTTAAATTTGATTGGGTTGGAAGTGATCCGCCCGGTGGTTTGGAGGTTTTTCTTCTTTTTCTACTTATGTAAGTAATGAATAAACACTGGTTCGTGTCACTACTTCCGAAGGAGATGGTGGCGATGGATTCATCTCCGACAATCAAGTAAGGTTTGGGAGGGAAGACAACAACGAAAAGCCACGATGAAGACGGTATTCTTTTTTGTCTATCAAGCAATGTAGCACCAGTTATTTTTAACACATGAATATGATAACAAAAGGTCAATAGACAAAGTGAAGTAGATTTGAAGACCGAACCAAGATGTGATGGTTGCAAAGGAATTTATGCAAAGGTTAGGTATCGAATACTTTGAAACTTTTTCCTCGTTGCAGCACTCGTTGGATCAATGATTGCTCCTGCAACACAAAAACATATGATTGATTTTCGTACTTGAAGTGAAGTCTACATTTTAAAATAGAAAGCTAGAAGAGGAAAAATTTAAGTCGAACTGCGTTGAGAAATTTTTTAGTTCCAAGGGAGAAGAAGACATCTTTATACTCGAAAACCTTATACTGTCCCGAAGGCTCTTCGAAGAGAGATTCTTCTTCACTGTCAAAATTCTCTTAGCATTTGTCTTGATGTTTTACCGTACTTTTGTAGCTGGGGTAGTCTGTTAATTTTTTCAGCATTTTTACTTCGTACTCTCATATTACAAATTCACATTCATGTATAGAACTCAAAAGAGCTTCCTTCCTTTTTTTTCCCCCTTTTTTTTTATTGCTCATCTGTCTGTGGCTTGTTCCCATTAATGTAGTGCAATGCAACTACAGAAGAATGAATCTGGCATTGTGATTGTGATTGCAATTGCATTTACAATCCTCCCAACTGACTGACTTTTCTTATAAATCACATTTGATCAGAATATTCAGTGCAACAATCTGTATACCTATCAAAATCTTAGTGTTCATCCTATGAATAATTAAAAACATAATTCATTCTGCTGAAAAGTTGTCCCTCAAAACAACTTTATTCTCCAAGATAGATACAGCTACTTCTACAAATTCTGGAGAGTGCTTTGTAGTAGGGATAGTTTTCTAGGAGATCTGCATCTTAATGGAATAATCGATTACTCGAATTTGCTACAAGAGGTCTGGCATACTTCTAAGAAGAACCGAATCATTGAATATTGCTCGTATCTGTAAGCAAGACAAGATTTTTGACCCTGAGTTGAAAATATCAACTCGAAGGTAGCCTACCACCTTCCCCGAACTCTTTGGGTCAAAGGCCGCCGAATCCAAAAAGACTACAAAAAGGACGAGTTTCAATCATCCCACAACAAACCTGGCATTACACGAATTAATTGTACGACAACTAGATGAATTTACATAATACACTAAAGATTACACCAGTCTTCCCCATAAGATGCCCCAGAATACATTGATGAAATACAGTTCGTCTCCTCTTTGATAGATTATGTGCTGATCTACTTACACGAGAATGTCTATGCATGTGTCTGACAGCATACGGAAACATCCAAAGTATTGGATGCATATGAAACCCCATCATGTCGCCTATTATAGTATGTACGGAGCAACTCACATGGTAGAATTTGCTTGATTTGATTTATTAGAACACGTGCACTTCGCTTTTTTGTCCGTGAGAGTCTACACAAGAAAGGAGAAGATAAAATGAGCAAAGATGAAGCTGGTGAAAGATTTCGTGTGAATGTTAATCTTTTGAGTGAAGGGTATCATCTGTTTAGTTACCTCGACTTGTTTCTGAAGGTCTTTAATGTAATCAACGGACAAACCTAACATATCAGCAATGCTCGTTTGCTGCAAGAAATGGCACCCAAAAAAACTAAATTCCTAGTGACCTCCAGAAAAGGAAAAAGGGAGTTGCACAATTGAGGCTACATAATTTACCTTGTCCATATTGGGAAATAGCTCTTGCAACTTCTTCATTCTTTCACTAATCCGTGTTCGTCTCATCTACAAATTAGCCAACAAAAAGTTAAATACTGTTCGAAGGACTAACCAGGTGAACTTAAATATGAGAAAGAAAAAAATTACCCTTTCTGCAATGCTTCGTGGATGAGTGGCGCAACCTCTTTTGGCCCGAACTTGAAGAGGAACAGTGTCTGGTTGAAATTGTAGATACTTTTCTACCGCAGCCATTTCAGCAGAAGCTTTTAGCAAGCTCAAATGGTGTGATAAACCTTGATTATTGTTTCCCGTTTCCACTTTCTGAATTCAAATATAACATTAGCAACAAATGTATGTAGTGTTAGGGAACAAGAAGAAAATCGAAGTGCAGAAGAAGTATAGCCTACCGGATTTTTGGATCCACTGAAATTAGAGAACATCTTTGGCTCACCATCTCTGTTTCTTTTTAATTGGTTGAAGGAAGAATCGTTCCACATGCGTTTTGGAAAGGCGGCATCATATCCTTTTCCATTAGCACTATTATCATTTCTCCATTGTCCGTCGTCAGGGTTATGCATGCTTATGCCTTCGTTTTCATTTTCTGGTATGCTGGGCATGACCCTTGATCTAGAAGGTGAACTGGATGAGAAGTTCAAGTAATTGTTCAAACCATTTGCTGACGAATGGGCTTCAGCACTTGTCCCATTACTAACTCTGTAATTTCCTACTTCTCCAGTTACACCATAACCTGAGATCAAACAAAGAAGTTTTTAGCAATCCATTCTCAATTATACCTGAGAAATCAAGAAAACGAAATACTAACAAGAAAGCTGCTTGAAACATCTATTCTCATTGCTATCGGAGATGCAAATCAAGTAATTTTTAACTTGTGTTCTATGGTAAAGAATTTAGCACCAGAGTTTATTAAGATGGTTTTAACAGAATTAGACACTACAAAAAAAAGTAAAAACTAAAATTTTATTCATATTATGGTCGGTAAAAAAAGTTATTTGTACTCTGTCATCAATCATGCGATATGTATAGGGATTTTTGCCAACAGTTTAATAGATTGCCAGCTGGCACAATTTCAATGGATATTGGACAAAACCAACTTCAAACCAACCAATCCAGTGTTGCCACTTCATCATATGTGAAAATTCCTGTAAATTTCACATGTACAAGGAGCTTAATTCACTTTGTCATTGAGGGTTTCGACTAGTAAGGTAATGTATAATCCATTTACAGGAAAAGTCAATTCAGCATCATTAACTAAAATCTACCTCAGCCCCTCCTTCCATGGGACAAAAACAACAAAGAAAAAGTATCTGTCTCCCAAAAAAGGGAGAGTGGGAGACCTTTTGCTGTAGAAAATTTCCTAGAAATCTATTCATTTCACATAAAATATGTTCTTTACCAAAATATTGCAATATACATATTTCCTTCTCCCTAATCATAAGATGACCAGGATTATTTATGGAGGATCAATTATTCTGAAACAAGATTTAGTCATTTTTGTTTACTTTCTTGAACTCTTCACAGATCCAAAAATAAGCTAAAAGTCAACCATGATGAAAAATGGATCTATGCTATTTTTCAAGCTTAAGTAACTAATTGAAACAAGTAAATCCAGGCTGAAATTAATCCAGCCAATTTGCTAGAAAACAGGAAAAGATATTCATACCAGAGAAAAATCCACCAGGAGAACTGCTTTGCCTGACAAGATTTGAGCAATTCCCATTCCCATTATTCATCCTCACTTGAACTTGATTCTCCATTCCAACAGAATAAGATCCCACAACAGCACCTCCACTTTCATACACCACTTGTGAAGTAGATCCATTCTTTCGTGTACCGGCCTCTATTTCTTGCTTCATAGGCCCCCCAGAAGAATACTGTAGTTGATACTTCTGATTCAGATCATCATCCCGAGTCTCATTCATCAGGGCAGAAAACATACTATCGGATTCATTACCAGATTCGAGAAGGGTTGTGAAGAACGAGCTTGGAGAAGATCGATATCGGGCCAATCCACTGCTTTTCAAGAATTCTCCCTCGGAAACATGCTTCAAACTGTTATTATTGGGGAGTAGAAAACAACTGCTCCTACTCATGTCTCTTGGAATAGCTTCTGGGCTGAACATAGTGACAAATTAAAACCCCAAAATCTATCAGAAGCTACAATGGAAAGCTGCAAAAGAAGATCAAAGTTTCTTGAAAAAAGAAAGGAAACACTAAAATCAAGGGGATATTTTTGATTAAAATGTGTTAAAACAGATTGGACAGAGTTTTTGCTATTTCTGTGAATGGATATGAGATTGAAAAACAGTTCCAATGTTTATTTATAGACTGAGTTTCCGTAGAAGAGCCCTCGGTTTTATCCATTTTTACACAATTCGATTGATGCGTCAGCATGAACCCATACCCCATTACACCCATGCTTGAAAAGTCACTTCTATTGACAAAACTGCCCTCAGCTGGCCAAACCACAATATTCCTAGCATT